GCTTATTTTTGTGAAGAAGAAGAAGATAAGTAGAAGAAGGAGAACTTGAGTGCCTTGAGCTCATAGATCTGGGATCATTCCTTCATTTGGCATTCAAAAGAGGTATAACGCTTTCAACTTTCTCTTGTAAGTTTAGATCTAGAAGTTTTGGAAGTTTGGACCTTTTTAGGTCCAAAGGAGGAACCTTTATCTTACAACTTCGTTTTTGGAGCTTAGGATTGCTATCCTTGAAGCTCAAGTGTCCCCATAGCAGTAAAGTTTCGATCTTTGAGGCTTATTTGGAACCATGCATGAGATCTAGTTGGTTTTATGGAAGTAGAATGTTATTTGTGAGAGTTTGAGTCTTTATGAGACTTGTAAGCCATCAAGTAAGCAACTTTATGGCTTAAGGCATTGAATAAGCTTAGGATCTGGAGTTCTAGCTTCTGGATCAGATTATTAAGCACTTAATGAAAAGTTGGCTTAACAAGGCTATACGCTGGGCGTACAAGGAAGTACGCGTCGCGTACACACCACCAGCCAGTACGCTTAGCGTACCTTGGTGTACGCCCCGCGTACGCCACCAATTTGGTCTTCGAGTGTTGGGCCTCGGTGTGGGCTGGGTTTCAGGCTTAGGGTCCTTGGGCCTTTATGGCCCATCAGAATTCATATGCTAAGGACCAAAGTTTTTGTATTGGGCTTGTGTAAGGCCCAATAAAAGGATTTTAGGCCCAATATAGCAAATTGGGCCATTAGTGGGCCTATAGTGGGGCCATGGATGGACTTAGAAGGAATTGAGATTTGGACCATGTTGTGTCCCACACCATAGTAGGGGTAAAATGGTCATTTTACCCATAGAGGAATCCCTATTCTGATTTAGTGTTTATTTCCCATTATAGTAGGGAAGCAACCGAAGCAGCCGTCAGGGATTTCTTATTCAGTATTTCAGCAGTCAGCGTCACGAGGTGAGTTTCCTTCCAATAGGAACGGGTCTAAGGCCACAATGTCGGCCCGTTTAGCTAGTAGTAGCTTCCGGACTTCGATCCGATGCAGTTTTAGTATGTTTGATGCCTTCGTGGCTCAGACAGGAATTATGTGTTATGTGTTCCGGGCTACAGCCCGATGCAGTACGCAGTTTATGTGCTTATGCTAGTTGATATGTTTATGCTATGATATGATATGCTCAGTTAGATTCCGGATTTCGGTCCGATGCAGCTAATTCCGGACTTCGGTCTGATGCAGGTGACAAGGTCCCAATCAGTTCCGGACTTCGATCCGATGCAGTGGGCAAGGCCCAATATATGTTTATACGTTATTGTGTGGTATATGGTAGTTTGGGGGAGCTCACTAAGCTTTGTGCTTACAGTTTTAGTTTTGGTTTCAGGTACTTCCGCAAGCAAAGGGAAGATCTCGGGTTGATGGCATCGCACACACCACCGCTTCTGTTGTCCCGGGAGTTCTTTTTTTTTTAGCTTTTCATGGATGTGATTTGATACAATCTTGATACAGCTTTCTATTATTTTGAGATATTGACGTACGAGTTTTACTTTATGATGTTAACATGGTGTTTTTAGTAATTATTAAACAAAATTTTTGGGTCGTATTTTGGGATGTTTCAAATTTAATAAAATAGAAAAACTCATAAAATAACATGTGGAAAAAAATTAATTCAAAATAATCATAACTAGGTACTGCAAGGAGGCCGGTGATCTGCCCGATTTGCAAGAAAGACATGAATCACAAATAGGCGTTGTGTGGCCACATCCGATGGCACACACAGGAGGAGAGACTAGTGGCGAGTAGGGATATTGCCAGGGCGCTTTCTGCCAACTTTGTTTCTAGGCAACGCGGTGATGGAGAACAAGGGCCGTCTAAGCGGTTTAAACTCCCGGATCTTAACAAACCACCACCACCGTAGGATGAAGACGGTGCCTGATCTGATCATGATTTACTTTTCGGGGGGGGGGGGGGGGGTGCATGCATATAAAGGTTTAAGTATTTGAGAACTTTTTGAATTTTGCAGAAAAATAATAATTTATTATAATTGAAATTTTTTTTATCTTTTAAACTTAAGCAAATAATTTAAGTAACAATAAACAAAAGAAACTAATGAACTTTACTTTGGAAATTTTGAGACAAAATTGCAAAAATGGTCCCTGTGGTTTGTCAATTTCTGTGGGTAAGGTCCAAAAAAAAGTTTATTAGCAAAAAAGGTCCATAATTGATGGTTTTGTTGTGGTTTTGGTCCTTACTTCGTTAAGTTTAACAGCATGACTGTTAACTTTTGTCAAATAACAGATTTACCCCTGGTACTATTTCTACATTTTTATCTTTTTACCAAACTACAATGACCAATTACGCAATTATTCTTTTTCATTTTATTGAAATATTAAATAATTGAATTACTTTTTTCTTTTTAACTTTTTACTTATTGTATTATTTTTTATTGGATTATTATATATCAATAAATATTATTTTTAATATATTATATTTATATATTAATAAATATTACTTTTTATTATTAATTTTTTTTAATAATTTTTTTGAATTTCCTTTTTATTGCATTAATTCTTTTTTGTTGGATTATTATATATTAATAAATATTATTTTTAACATATAATATTATATTTATTTATTAGTAAGTGTTACTTTATTAGATTATTAAGTTCATTTAATTATTTTTTTTTATTTTATTATTTGTTTTGATTGGATTTTTATAAATTAATAAATATTATTTTTAATATATTATATTTATATATTAATAAATATTACATTTTTTATTATTAGTTTTTTTTTGCATTAATTCTTTTTTATTGGATTATTATATATTAAACAAATATTATTTTTAGCATATAATATTTATTTGTTAATAAGTGTTACTAATTGGATTATTAATTTTTTTAATTTTCTTTATTGCATTATTTTTTTTATTGGATTATTAATTTAAATTTATTATTTTTATTTGTAATAAGTAATATTTTTTAATTGTTTTTATTTTTTTTTAATTTCTTTCTTTATTGTTTCAAATAAAAATACCAAAAAGTCATACGCACCCCACATTCTCTAATTTATTTTAAATAATTGGAAGACAACATATTTTGGACAACACCACCACCATCAGTCAGTCACAACAAACCATTATTGGGCCATTTGCAACCCTGTTACTATATATATATATATATATATATATATATATATATATATATATATATATATATATATATTATATATATATATATATATATATATAAATATATAAGTTCAGTAATGATTCACGAAGTGAGATCATCGTGTGTATTTTAGTTTTTGTATATTCACATATATCTAACTTTGTTATTTATTTCAATAAACTTATGATTTTGACATATATAATTTCCCTAAAAATATTTCTAAATGAATTACTAAATCTGAGTATTTGCTACTCGGTGGTCGGTCAAACGAGCACCAAATAACGAATTCTACAACTTTGTAACCACCTATAGTGGCTATGGTGGTTTGAAAATCCTCGACCTAACATTGTCGTTATCGATGGTGGTATCTGTAATGAATGGTTGGATGGAGGAAGTATGTTTTCTGGGGTTTGTTTCACATTGTGTGGGTAGTCAACTAGTGTAGTTATCATCGAGAATGACCGACTCTACTCAATGATCGATGATTTCCAACGAGATGATACGACGTGTAGTTTTCATCGAGAATGGCCGATTGTAGTTGATGATCGATGATTTCCAATGAGATGATACGACGTGTAGTTTTCATCGAGAATGACCGACTGTAGTTGATGATCGATAATCCAATAAAAAAGAACTAATACAATAAAGAAAAATTTTTTAAAAAAATCAATTAAAAAATAATAAAAAAAGTAATATTTATTAATATATAACTATAATATATTAAAAATAATATTTACTAATATATAATAATCCAATCAAAAGAATTGAAGAAATAAAAAAATTTTAAAAAAAAATTATTTAAATGAATTTAATAATCCAAAAATGTAACACTTACTAATAGATAAATATTATATGTTAAAAATAATTCGTATTAATATATAATAATTCAATAAAAAAGAATTGATGCAATAAAGAAGAAATTCATAAAAAAAATAATTAAAAAAGTTAATAATAAAAAAGTAATATTTATTAATATATAAATATAATAATGAATTTAATAATCCAAAAATGTAACACTTACTAATAGTTAAATATTATATGTTAAAAATAATTCGTATTAATATATAATAATCCAATAAAAAAGAATTAATGCAATAAAGAAGAAATTCAAAAAAAATAATTAAAAAAGTTAATAATAAAAAAGTAATATTTATTAATATATAAATATAATATATTAAAAATAGTATTTATTAATATATAATAATCCGATAAAAAATAATACAAAAAGAAAAAGGTTTAAAATAAAAAAGTAATTAAAATAATTAATATATAATAATTCAATAAAATGAAAAAGAAAAATTGCATAATTGGTCCTTGTAGTTTAGTAAAAAGATAGACAAAACTGCATTTTTCGTCCCCGTGGTTATCCAAAAATTGTGGATAAGGTCCAAAATGTTTTCAAGTTGCATGGTTTGTCCAAAACATGAAACTTCTTGTGGTTTTGGTCCCTGGAGTTAACTCCCGTCCATTTCCTTCCATTTAGTGTAGCACGTTCCCTCCATGTGAGGGAAATTTCGTCTTTTCATTTGTATTACACATTACCGCCAATTGAAAGCTCTACAGCCTATTTGTGTATATCATCCCTATTTATCAGTTGGCTACTCCTATTCCTTCATCCACCTTTGACGACGTGAAGATAAAAAAAACCCTAATCACAAACCCTTTTCCTGATCGAGCTTCAATCTGTAGTTGAAATTTCGCAAATAGTTCTGACAATGTGGTCCATCAGAGCACAAGGTGAAGAAATTGATCCCAATTAAATTTATAGTAAGATGCTCCGTATTTGATCACGTTCTTACACTTTTGAAATCTAAAAATCGTTTTTTGTTTTTTTAAGCTGGACATCTCACCATGTTCAGTATGGAACTTCATCATGGTGGGAAGTTCACAAAGTTTCCAGGCGTCAAGTATATTGAAGGGGTTGTAGCATACATTGACGTGATCGATATAGAAGAATTCTCAGTACATGAAATGGACTCCATCATGTTAGATTTAGGGTATGTTGTTCCACCTGTCATCTACTATCATTTCTGTTTGCCCAATGAGGGTTTGGATTTTAGACTAAGAGCTTTAGGTAATGATGATGATGTACGTAACCTATCAAAATACGTGAGTGAGAACAAAGTGATAAAAGTGTACACAGAGAATGGAGAAACAACGTTAGTTACCTATTTCATGTCCCCAAATGGTCCTAGAAGGGTTATAATAGAAGAGATTGAAGATGAGGAACCACCTCAGCCCGTATCCCCTACTGTAGGGTTAACCTTGGCAAGGTATGGGTTTTTCACACCTGAGTTGAGTAGGGCAAAGGTTGGAAACCTACCCAAGGTAGCTCATCATGTAGTAAAAAGCTTTGCTTAGATTGGGTAGACAAAGGAGGAATAAGTGTTGTTGAAGGTGATCAAGTTGACCTTGTGACTACTAATGCTGATGTAGAAATGGTTGAAAAATTAGTGAATGAAGATGTAGAGGAGGGGCAACCTATTGCAAATAAGGGTGTAAAGGAGGGGTGTACTGGTATGAATAAGCAACATGTCACACCCCCAAACCAAGGATGGCGGAAACATCCGGGGGTGGAGGACTTCATGTATAGTATCACAACCACAATTTCAATAGTAATTTAAGCAAACACAACCAACATATATATAATTGAAAAAGTTACATCACTTGTATGAATTACATGTTTCAAAATCAATTACAATACGTTGACAAAATATGAAAAGTTTGACGCCTTAACGTCCCATCCTCAAAAGCACTTGATTACCTGTTTAGTGTTTTCCTGAGAATACAAGTTGTTTGAAAAGTGTCAACACAAAGGTTGGTGAGTTCATAAGCTTTTATTAATAAACTTAGTAGAAGTCTTTCACATGTAAATGTCGCGTTTGTTTCAGAAAAATCCGATATTCTCCTTGAATTCCGTAAAATGTAGCCTTATAACCAAAGACCAAAATGTATAAGAAATCATCCTTACTTAGTAGAAATGTCGTGAGTTTAAAATGACATGGAAAGTAAATTTTTACTCAACCTAAAACCTACTTCGGTTTTATGAAATCCCGTAAACTTTATGAATTGTTAACTCCCTAGGTGAGTCGCTATAATCATACTGTGACTATGTGAACCTGCCACAACGTTTCTCAGGCGTCGCGAAAATGAAATGACATTTGTCACCCGTAGACCTGCAGGTCCCACTGTAGCTAGCAGCAAGGTGTGGGGTGTCAAACCCAATATAGATCTATATACAAGTATCACGTTCTCCCTCAAGGAGATTTTGATTATAACTACCAGGAATTATATCCCGCACTCGGACGTACGGGGAGAGAGAGAGTCTCACAACATAGGTTAACAAGTTTACGTGAAATGTGTGTGAATATAAATCTTTCTTGTATGAATGTACCCTTTTTGTACGAGTGTGTTGAGTGATGTATCATAAACTATACCTATTATAGTTTATCTAAAACGTATGTAGTATGTATGAATTCTTTTATGGAAATGTATTAGTGTTGTGAATTTATCAAACTATACTTTTTATAGTTAAATATACGTGTTCTAAAGTGAATGAATAATATTTAATATGAATGACTTAGTTTCAGTTCATAATGATAAACTAACAAGGAAACACATTCAAATATTAGAACTTATGATTATACACTTTGCTCAACATAATACAAAGTGTTATGATATTTACATGCTGTTGGCTAACTTTAGCCATTCTGCCCTGTTTTGGAAAAATCATAAAAAATCATACGAAGTCGAAAACTAGATCCGTAAATTCTGAGAGTTCAAAAATGTGTCTAGTTTACTCATAATTTTTATCACGATTTTTAATGACCTCCAACTTGGGTGAAAAATCCATAATCACAGACTGGTCCGGATTGTTGTTTGAAATGATAGGCAGTTTTGTAAAAATCACCATAAATTGTAGAAAAATCGTATGGAGATGTGCAAGTAGTCATTTTAAAGCTACAAACTTGAACTATTTGCACCTTGTACAGGTTTGAAAACAAAAATGTTTAAGATGCCCAAAACAGTCCGTGAATGGAGTTGAACTTTTCTGATGAAGGCTGTTAGAAATATTTAGTTATGTTCTTGGTGTTTTAACTTGTATTTCCCCCCTGAAAACTTGAGAAAACATGAAAATGTAGGGGTATGAACTCACCTTAAGTGATTTCAGTAGATGATTGTTGAAGAATGGAAGTGTTTAGTTCAAGAACACTTGGAGATGCCTTGAAGATTTTCGAGAATCTAACATTATAGTTATGGAGTTTGTGTAAGCAATCAAAGATTTGAGTAGAAGGAAGTGAAATAATAATAGGGAGGATGATTTTTACTTACTAAGAGTGGAAGAACGCTTGAAATCAGCCTTGAATCTCGAAAATTTGTGTAGAAAAAGTTTGAGAGAAAAGTGGTGTTTGTTACTTAGTGGAATGAGAGAAATGAGAGAAAATGAGGAGTGTGGTTGTTTGTTCCAGCTCAAAAAAACGTGGGAGTGAGTGAAATTTGAGTGTAAGGGGACATTGAAGTGACATAGGTAAGGTGGGGAGGTATGGCTGGTCATAGAGTGGGTGTGGGGTGGTTGCTTGTGTCATAAGTTAAGGCAAAGTCAACACTCCACCTTAAATAAATCCTCCATTAGATCTTTATTATTTAGATAATGATTTTCATAAAAATGTGATTAAATTGTGAATATTTAGAGTTTATTATGTTAAAATATAATTTCTGGAGAAAATCCCGCGTTAAAATAATTAAAAACGGGCCTTAAATGCAAAACTACGCGAAAACCGGAAAAAAAGGCATTCCCAGCGAGACCTCTCGGTCCCTAGGCCCAGGTTCGGTCCTTGCTGGGGGCTGTAGCCGGAAACGAAACGAACAGAGGGAAGCGAAAGGGGCGAGGAAGCGAGAGGGGGGTTCGGTCCGGAGATAATAGGCGACGCGTCCGACCGAAAGGTGCCGAATGAACAGTGGTGAACAGTACCTTCCGGTTCGGTTCCTCCTGGGCGAGGTTCGGGTTCGGTTCCTCTTAAGCAGGGTTCGGTTTCGGTTCCTCCTAAGTAGAGTTCGGGTTCGGTTCCTCCTGGGCGAGGTTCGGGTTCGGTTCCTCTTAAGCAGGGTTCGGTTTCGGTTCCTCCTAAGCAGAGTTCGGGTTCGGTTCCTCCTGGGCGAGGTTCGGGTTCGGTTCCTCTTAAGCAGGGTTCGGTTTCGGTTCCTCCTAAGCAGAGTTCGGGTTCGGTTCTTCTTAAGCAGGGTTTGGTTTCGGCTCAGGAGGGTTCGGCTCCTCCTTGCTCTCAGTCCCTAAGAGGACCTTCGGGTCCTAAGAAGCTTCTCTCTTCTCGAGAGGTTTCGGTTCCTAATGTCTATTTTTCTCGTTTTTACCCCGTTTTAAGCCGTTTTTGACACGGTTAAGCGTCGGAATGACCCGAATGATTCTAAAAAGTTACGGGAAACTTTAGAGAGAGATTTGGGAGAGATTTTACATACTTGGAGAGATTTGGGAGAGATTTGACATTCTTGGAGAGATTTCTCATACAGAGAGATATTTGAGAGAGATTTCACATACTTGGAGAGATTTGGGAGAGATTTCACATACTTGGAGAGATTTGGGAGAGATTTCACATACTTAGAGAGATTTGGGAGAGATTTGATATTCTTGGAGAGATTTCTCATACAAAGAGAGTTTTGGGAGAGATTTCACATACTTAGAGAGATTTCAAATAGAGAGAGATAGAGTGAAAACGATTGAGAGAGGTTTCGAGTGTGGCATTTGTGAGTGTCCGGCTTCGCAAAGTAAGGTCCACAAACACTGTTAAGCCTTGTTTAAGGATCTTACACATTCCCGATGAGTATTCAACATGGTTTTTATCAGTTTAGTTCGTCGATTTACTCTAAGGCTCAGGAAATTTTAACACAAGATTTTTCCCAAGTGAAGTTTTCCCATTAATATAGCAAGTTATACAGTATGAACATAACACAAACTCTAATACACAAGGTTTAATCGAGTTGACCGGTTTGACTTGATGACTCGACTTGACTCAAGATTGACGATTGTCACATCATCCCCCCGTTAGAGGGAATTTCGTCCCGAAATTTAAATTCGGCTGGGAACTTCAAGGGTTTGGGAAAAGATGTGGATACTTTTGCTTCATTTGATCTTCACGTTCCCAGGTAAACTCAGGCCCTCGTTTTGCGTTCCAACGAACCTTCACTATGGGTATGCGACTTTGTTTTGTTCTCTTGATCTCTCGATCCATGATCTCGACGGGTTCCTCCACAAAGTGGAGATTTTCATTAACTTCGATTTCTTCGAGTGGTATTACCAGTGTCTCGTCAGACAGACACTTCTTTAAGTTGGATACGTGGAAGGTAGGGTGTACATTACTAAGTTCTTGTGGTAGTCGGAGTTTGTACGCCACAGGACCAATCCTAGCAAGGATTTCGAACGGACCGATGTACCTTGGGTTTAGTTTCCCTCATTTACCGAAACGTATCATCCCCTTCCAGGGAGAAACTTTTAGTAGTACCCGGTCTCCGACCTGGAATTCTAAAGGTTTGCGTCGCTTATCCGCGTAACTCCTTTGTCGATCACGCGACGCTTTTAGTCTTTCCCGAATTTGAATGATCTTTTCTGTGGTTTCCCTTATGATTTCAGGCCCAGTAAGGGTGCTATTGGGGACTTGCCCTCTGGCTAGCTGAGTATCTCCAACTTCGGCCCAACACAATGGTGATCTACACTTGCAACCGTAGAGAGCTTCGAATGGAGCGACTCCAATGCTAGTGTGATAGCTGTTATTATAAGAGAATTCGATAAGCGGTAGATGGGTATCCCATGCCTTACCAAAATCTATCACACAGGCTCTCAGCATGTCTTCCAATGTCTGGATGGTTCTCTCGCTTTGTCCGTCAGTTTGTGGATGGTAGGCCGTACTCATGTCTAGCCTGGTTCCCAGAGACTTCTGTAGGGACTGCCAGAAACGCGAGGTGAATCTACTATCTCGATCAGAGATAATGGATGTTGGTACACCATGTAGTCGCACGATCTCTTTAATGTACGTCCTGGTTAACTTCTCCATCTTGTCTGTTTCCTTTATTGGCAGGAAGTGCGCGGACTTGGTCAATCTGTCCACAACCACCCATATGGTATCCATCCCACCTGATGTCTTAGGCAGTTTGGTTATGAAGTCCATGGTTATTCGCTCCCACTTCCACTCGGGTATATCCGGTTGTTGAAGTAGTCCTGATGGCTTCTGATATTCCACCTTGACCTTGGCGCAAGTGAGGCACTTGCTCACATAAGTAGCAATTTCAGCCTTCATGTTTGGCCACCAGTATAACCTTTTGAGGTCGAGATACATCTTATCTGACCCAGG